CTTTCCACAAACGTTGACAACATTCTTCACATTTCTCACTATAGTAGTGCCTACACTCTGCCGTACCGTTTTCCTTCCGGGAATTCCTTAAACCAAAGATGTACCTTCACTTGGACTTCTACAGGGCTTCACATACGATAATAGGCTCCTTTTTAGGTTACAGAGTATTTTACCTCTAGCCAAACTCGAACCGTCGACCTTGTCTGTGGAGGGACAGGAGCTTATCCATTAAGCTATGGGACCTGAACCCCTATTTTTAATAATAATTTTAATTATATATCAGTATTTAATTAAATAAAATATTAATTTGTTTTTATGTTCTTTAGTTTATGTCATATAATAAATTGTGATTATTAAAAATATATCCAGAAACTGTATATGTGTTTTACCCAAATTAGAAATACTCTAATTCAGAAACTGCTACGTACTCTGATTTACCTAGCCTGAAATTCCCAAACAGAGTACCTAACTTAAGAACTATAATTATACTAATCGTAATGTACCTTACTAATTCTCAAGCTGAGTAATCTGTTTAAAAATTTCATAATCAACTAGAATAATCTGGTTTTAAATCAGAATAACTGGATTTTGATTTATAGCAGTAAAATATGTATAAAAATATCAAATTATGTCATACTACAGAATAGAGTTAATTATTTATATCAAAGTCATGGCTGCTGTACTATATTATTGTTATCCTATATAATATCGACTAAAAAAAAATTGGAAAAATCATGCTATAATCCCTTGCCAATTTTTATTTGGATCAAAAAAGTAAGAATTGTTATATTATTAAGGTTTCAAAGCTGCAGGATTAATAAGTAATTTTATATAAATTTCAAAAAAATTAAAATCAGTAATGTGGTAATAATAGCAAAACTTATATATGTACTAGAAAACAATTGGATAACAATAAAAAAATAAAATTTATATATGAAACAAGAGAATAATTAAAATAGCATTAATAGTAAAATGAAACTTAAAAAAGTAGAATAGATTAGTTAGTTTTGTATATAAGTATATAAAAAATTTTTTATAAAAGATTAGAAAAAGTAAATGCAATACTTATATCTTTCATATAGTAGTTAAGTAAAGTTTAAAGTTTTCCAAGTTTATTAATAAAACTATTATCAATAAAATTCTATATAATTATTCAAATTAAGTTCTACGCTTTAAACTTTTAAACTTCCAATCTTTAACAATGGATAAATTTATAATTCGTCAGAGTTCTAAAACTTCAGATCAAAGCAATATGAATGATAATAAATCTAGCGAAAGCGATCAAAAGAAAAAAATTCATACTACTTGGAATCCTAATTTATCTAAAGTTTATCCTTGGCTTGAAAAATCCGAAGATAATGATGGTGTAGTCATAGTATTTTGTACTTGGTGTAAGGTAGCAAAAAAGAGTAATCAATTTACTGAAAGCATACAGTCTTTACGAAAACAAACTTTTGAACATCATCTTATTACTGTTGATCATCAGAAGGCAACAATTTTTCAAGACAATCAACAAACTACAATTATTCAAAGGTTTACTCAACAACTTAATGATCAAAAATTAAAGATAATATCATTAATAAGAAATGTTTATTATCTTTCTAAAAGTAATCAAGTCATGAACCAATATTCCGCTTTGTGTCAATTAGGAAATTTGCAATTTATTAATCATAAAGAACTTTATTTTGAGAACAATCCAATCATATTAAAGTCTATTAATAATGAACTATTTAATCAACATCAGCATGAATATGCTTTATATGAAAATCCAATTTTAGGATAAGCATTTCTTGCATTAATTGCATTTGTTATAGAGCATGAAATTATTCAAGAGTTAATATTATCAAAAAATTAGAATATTTTAATTGACAAAAGTACTTCATTTACTGCTAAGCATCTTGCGATTGTGACTAAATACCTTACTCAAAATACACCAGTTTTGCGATATCTTGGAATGATTGAACTTGATAATTGTAATGCAGAATCAATAACTAATAATCTTGAAAGATTTATAATTGCTAAGTCACTTAATATTGAAAATCCAACTCATTTTGGAAGTGATAGAGCAAGTACAATACTTGGGCAATGTACTGGTATTGCAGCTCATCTTAAAAAATACAATCCATATATTACTGAAAATCATTGTATTGCACATCGATTACATCTTGCTAGTCAAGATATTGCAAAACAAGTTGCTTATTTTAAAACATATGATACTATAGTTAAGGGAATCTATTTATATTTTAGTAGTTCTTATAAAAGGTTATTAATACTAAAAATAGTACAACATAATTTAGAAGAACCAGAGCTAGTATTATTAAATATTATATCTACATGTTGGCTCTCATTTTCAAATGTTATTCATAACTTTCATCAATGTTTAGAATCTATTAAAGGGCTTTACTAGAAGAAGCGGCAAATAATCAGCAAGCTGCTTCTTTATTAGCTAATATTAATCAAGAATTCGAAATTGTAACAATGTTTTTAGCTAATTATTTTTTATTATAGAAAAATTAATATGTATATTTCAATCAGATTATATCTCATTTGTTAATATTCAATGACATATTACTATAACAATTGATGCAATTCAAGCTCAATTTATTGGTAATAATAAGGTTTTACCTACTTATGGATCAAACTTACTTGAGTATATTGCAAATAATAATTTGAATATTTATGAACTTCCTATATTTATTTTTGATTTTGCTCAAGCAACTATAGAGTGTCTTAATAATCGTTTTCCAAACCAAGAATTATATAATGCATTAGGAATATTTGATCTAGAGCAATTACCAAAATTAGATAGTGATCTAGCTAATTATAGTAATAAAAATATTAAAATTCTTAGTAATTTTTATAGAACTTCTAAAATGATTAATAGTAAAGAATTTAAACCATTAATCAATAATAGAGTATTAATTAGCGAATGGGAAATAGTCAAATTTTTTCTTAAAAATTATCGATCAATTAAATTATTGATGCATGGAATCTTATTTTTTTAAAAACTTTGTTTCTTTATAATTTTCCTGCTACTTCAACTTTAATACAAATTGCTTTAATTATTCCCGTTACAAATGCAACTGTTGAAAGAGTTTTTTCTTAACAAAATCTTATAAAAACTCGTCTTCATAACCAAATGAACATTAATATACTTAATGATTATTTGATGATAGCTTTAAATGGTCTACCTATTAATTTATTTGATTTTAAAAAGCTTTTGATTATTGGTATTTAAAAGAGCACAAATTTTTTTTTTTTAAATGTTAAGGTGACCACTTGGGGGTTTGGCACATTTTATTTGCAATCTGAATCAAGCTTCGGCTCGGTCGAATAGACCTCACCTGACTTTGTTATACCAATGAGAGTACAATTAGTCACATGTACAACTTTAGTTATTGCCTATTCAAGGGTTCTGCTATATCTATTTATATCTATAGTTAACTATTAATTGCTATACCTAAGATCTGCTTATAGATTTCTATTTAAATCTTCTGATCGGCTTTACGCTGTCATATCATTTTCACCACTGCCTAATTGCCGCTAAGGCCTCTTAGGACTACTTTATCCTTGTGGTAAACCTAAAGAGCGCAAAATTTAAATTTAGACTAAAGTTAAAATTCTTAGTATTTTTTAATCTATATATAATAAATTTTTTAGGTAATTATTTTATATATTTTGATTAATAGAAGATTCAAAGTTAATAAATAAATAGCATATTTTGAAATAAATAAAAGTTTGAAAAATCTTAAAATTTTAAAATCGAAAAATGAAATAATTAAACTAGATTTTTGTGTTTTAACTTTGTAGCTCTCTAATATATAAAATTTTAACTATTATTTTTATAAAGAATGTAATTTAAGCCATTTTTAAAAAAAGCACAATCTCAACAAAGTTAGCTAGCATTATATATAATACAGCTAATTTAGTCAATATTATAGTTTTTGAAAAGTGGTTTTTAAAAAATCATAAATAACTCTTTTAGCTTTTAGTTTTAGTATTTACATAATATAATTATTTAATAAAATTAGTAAAATAAAGATTTATATTTTTAAATATTAAAAGATACTGCATATATTAAATTTAAATTTATGTGCACTTTGCACACATAATTTCAAATTTAATTTTTTTACACTGGTGTAATGTAACATGACCATAAAGATCAAAACAAAACATTCATCTTCAAAAATCTTTACTCAAAATTTTGCTTAAGAAACCACTTTTTATATTCTAACAAAAAAAATTTCTTGGGTAGTTTTACAATATGCCAGACCTTTCTAACCCTAATCCTAACATAAAAAAACTCTAAAGAATTTTGTTGATATCACGTGAAAAAATTTTGGTGGTGATGCTAGGAAGATTATAATGATCAATATACTGATATCTATAATAATTGTCACAGATGATGTTGAAAATGAATGATGCTGAAAATCATGTAATCAAATGATGATCTTCTGTATAAAAAAACCTAATATAATGCTAAAGTGCTTATAAAACCCTAGAATCACTAACTAAAAAATTTCACTGTTAATATTAAGGTTAGGGTTTGGATATGTCTATATTTTAATTATCCTAGTAGAATTAGATATAATATTGTAAAATGAAAAAAACTTTCATACCCTAACCCTAACTCTAACACCAGCAGTGATAGTAATGCTAGGTGTTTATACAGAAGATCATTATGTGATTATGTGATTTTTAGCATCATCTATTTTCAGCATCATCTGTAACAATAATTATAGGGGTTCTTAAAGCCAAGTTAAAAAAAGTTATATTTTTGATGTTTTAGAAGTTATCTTTTTGATATAGTTAAGGTTAATAAGTGTCACAGCTGATGCTGAAAATGGCTGATACTAAAATTTAGATCTATTTTGATATGAATTTTTAAAAATTTTTTAGGGTGTTTTTTCCCCGCTTTTTTTTTTTATAGTTGAGTTAGTGTTTAGGGTTAGAATTAATAATTAACAAGTATATGTGGATTTTAGTAGGGCTTATATTTTTAAATCGAGACCCCAAATTTTAGCATCAGCTATTTTCAGCATCAGCTGCGACAATAAGTTATTTATATATTAAAAATACAATTTATGCAGCATATAGATTAATATATAAAATCTTCCTACTTTAAGGGATACCTCTAGCTCTCTCACAAAAAATTGTTCACTCTGCAATTTTGACCAATTGAATCTCAGGATTAGATATAATGTAAAAATTAAAATGAATCTATTTTTTTATAAAAAAACAAGAATAACTCTAAATTTAATTCGAAACCCACTTTTTGCAGCTTAATTAAAACTGTTTCTTGTAATATTTTACTAATAAGCATTATATTATTCTAATTCTAACTCTAATTATACTATAGTTTTCTTAGTTTTCATTTTATGTATTTAGAAAACAAAATATGTTTGTTTGACACCTGATCTTAAATTTTAATTGGTCAAAATTATTGGGAATGAACAATTTTTTGTAAAAATGCTACCTAAAATATTTTTTTAAGAGATCCTCTATTTTGAATAAATAATATATATTATTTATAAACAAACAGCAACTTTGTGACTTTAATTAATCTCCTCAAATACTAGAGAATTTACACAAAATTTAACTATTCTGGATCAGCTTGAATATGAATTTTGGATATGTATGAATGAAGAAAAAAATAAAAATATTTATTGGTTCACTAATTAAAAATGTTAGAAATAAAATTTTATATGTATAGTATAAATCTTAAACTTTCCTATAGCATTTTTCTGTAGTTTGATTTTTTGTTGTATTGTCTAGAGGATTGTTAGAAAAAGTTGTATATATTGAAATTATCTTTGTAATTATCTTATAAATCATTATAATTATTATAGTTAGTATAATTAAAATTATTAGTATTTCTTCTACTTCTATTATTGGTTTTACTAATATTACTTTTATTACTACTATTATCTTTATTATTGTTACTACTACTCAAAATTACAACTTCTTTTTTATCTAAAAGATAAGATACAAGAATTGTCTACTTGGATATATTGGCAAAAAGTTTTGACTTATTAGCTAATTTGCTATCTTTGTTTATAAACAAAATTTAATTTCCTATTCAAAAAAGGTTGTTTAAAGCTATATATAGCCATATAATATAGAGCCAATAAAATTGTTTCTTTTATTCAATACAGATTAGCCTGACAAAGAAAAAAAAGTAAAAAAAGTAAAAAATATCAAAAATACAAGAAACAAGTGTCTAAACCTATTTTGGGTCATTAATAAAAATTACCAAAAAAACAATTTTACTATAACATTTAATTC